ATTTATAATTGATCCGTAATTTCTAAATGAAATTATTTCAGTTATTTAGACTAGATATTCTGTAAAGTAAAGTACGCTAACAGTTAAAGGTATATTAAAAAGATTTTCAGTTTGAAAAATGAATAAGTAGATCTTAATAATCTTTTTAGTATTTTTAATTATATGTGCCCCTGTGAAAAATTGCTTATGTTATGAACTACTAAAAAACATTTGTTTATCTTAACAGCTCATAGGCTGTTCATGAATATTATTATTAGAAGCATTTTATAATGAAAACAAAAGTTTGTATTGCCAACATTTCCACTTTTACAGCTGACTTAATAAAATATGATAAAATATATAAATCTGTGTGTACTCAGACGTGTGGTGTTCATGTGAATAAGTTGGCTGTTTACTCATGTATTTTCAAAGTAGTTTTTAAAAATTTCTTTGATTTTATTTGTATGAAAAGTGTATGAATCATGATAGAGTAGTTTTCTATATCAGTGTCTTAATGTATTAAATTTTATATTTTTTCATGCTGGATAACAATTGAAAAAAAATTTGCATATTTTGATTATTTATTTATTTTATTTTTTGATTATCAATCATTTGATTTTATTTTTTGATTATCAATATTACAGCTTAGAATTGTAATATTTTGGTGCATTTTATTTATATAATTATTTCATTATTTCTTGGTCTTCACTTGAGTTTGATATAATATTTATTGTAGCTGAAGAATGTAAAACACATTTTCTTTTTAAGATATTTTAATAATCCAATCATTTTGTAAAAAGAGCCATGTATTATAATATTATAAATGATTCATAATAATTGGCATATTAATACACGCATGAAAACACAAAGTAATCTAGAATGGCATAATTAAGATGCAATTAATTAATTGGCAGTTAGCTACAAATTCATGATTATCCTAAGTAATTCAATTTCTATGTTCAGAGCTTTATTATTATTATTATTTATTTGACAGAGCACCACCTAAAAGCAGGGTCAAAGAAGAGCATCTTAGGAAAAAGTATTAGAGAAATTAAACTCCTAGTTTATATATATATATATATATATTTACTTTTTCTTCATGGAAGCACATTTAAGAAAACAAAAGGTTTATTTTATGGTAGCTTATGTAAATAATTTGTAAAATAAGTAACATCATACTAATGATTCTCATAAAGAGAGGGAAGAATATTGCTCATTGGTTAAATCATTTTTAAATAGATACATAAGTTTAAAAGAAGTGAAAGGTATACAGAATCTAGTGATATCAAGTATAAAATTATGTAGAAATCAAGATTGTTGATATGTACTACTCATCACCTGTGTCATTGGTCTTCGTACAATTTGTAGTTGAATGGTAAGACATAATCAGAGTTGCCAACTCTCCCGATTTCTAACTGTTCTCCCACCAACCCGATTTACAATCTATTTCTCCCAATTTGATCTTATTCTTAAAATTTCTCAGGATTTTTACGTGGCTTGGCTTAATACTTTGTTATCTACACGGAAAAAAAAAAAAAAAAGGTAATTTTGGGCATCTGAAATCACTTATTTTTTCCTCTATATTTTATAAGGAAAACAAAGTCATTTCATCCATGAGAAACTATGGCACCCTTCTGTGAGTGAGAGCGCATATGTTCGAAAAAGTCATATTCTAGTTCTCCAGTTCGAGTGCCTTGTGCGTGTCATCTGGCATACATTAGCCATGGAGCATAAAGCAAGATCGAGGTTGTTATTTTGTACATCTTACCTCTGAGCAGTGTGAGCGCATGTGCTTTCGAGAAACAGTTTAAGGAATTATGATCTTTCGTTTTAATTATGTCTGCGAAAAGGCAAAATACTTATATACTTTTCAAAAACCGTGCGCTGATGACCTTTCGTTCAATTATTTCCTCAAGGGAATGTATACATTTGTGATGTGTATTTTTTGTCATTGTGATTTTTCAGTTTCGCACAGGGGAAGTGCTGATGTTCTCAAAAACGTGCTTACACAAAAACATAAGGAGAACATGAGTTTTTTTTGAAGAAAATGAAAAATCAAATTTTTCTGTGGAAGCAAAGGACCTTTAATGTAGAATGCTTATTCTCTGCCTTTTTATTGGAGTACAACCTACCATTGACTGCATTGAATCAACCTTTATTTAGAAAAATGTTTCCCAATAGCAAATTTGCTCAGAAATGCTCAAGTGCAATGAACAAAACGGCTGCATTTGTTAAAGAAAGATACTGATTGCATTAAATCAGTTCCATTCTGCCTCTCTATAAATGGAGGCAATAACATAAATTTAAAACTGTATCCAACTGTTGTTCCATTTTTCAATCCAGTGTCTTCAGAAGGACATTTGACAGGCTTTAATATATCACTAGTTATTAAAACTTTTAAAGAAAATGCAATTAGAGGAATTGCATTTTCTTTCTAATAATTGTTTAGCACTTGGTGCCAATAATGCACCGGTAATGGTAGGCTTAAAAGCTAGTGTTGCAGTGATGTATTGTGGATGTCACCTAAAGACGTTTTCCCTCTTGATGAAACCAGTCTTTTCCTTCATCTCATCCCTTAAATTGCTTAGCCTCGAAAGACTGATAAAGGCTCTGACTAACTGATGAAATGGATTGAATTGGATTATTAAGCTACGGTAAAGCAGAGCTATCTGCTTAAAAGGAGTGATGCCTTCGTGAAGAACTTTCTAAGGGAAATCAGCTGGCATACATGTTACAATGAGAAAAACCATGAAAATGCCCATGCAACCAGTCCGTTTGGCGGGATTTGAACCCCGTAGCGAACTACCAGTGTTCAGCGACTTTACCTCTCAACTGTTGGTGGGCCTTTATGAAATGGAAGGTGAGAAGTTTATGTCAGAAATATTAAGATGTTTTGAAAAGTTGGATGCTTTTTAATATACATGCAGAATGCCTGAAGGAAAAGAGCAGGCCATTAAGGAGAAAAAAATTAATTTTTGCATAAAATTTAGTATTTTTTTTAATTTAAAACTTTTCAATTTTATGGTATTTTATTCTTGCAATTCAAAAATAAAAATTGACTAACAATATGAATACATTTAAGAACTAAATTGAGGATAAATGGTGTAAAGCTATAGCACATGTTAAAGCTATTTAAGAATATATGCAGTCATCCTAAGTTAAAATGTCCTTTATACATCTTCTCATTTATATATCTTTTCTGAACGAAACATTGAAAGGCGTGTTTAACTGTGCTTTAGGTTTTTTTCTTTTTAATATTATTTTCAGATGCATCGTATTAGACACAAAGTATTCTTCCAAAAGAATCAATTAAATAATAAATAAAATCCTGAAAATTTATATAATAATTATAATTATTTTAATATAAATTTTCCAGTTAATTAATAAATATATTAAAATGTCAGTCGATGAATAGAAAATTTTAAACAATTGTCTGAAGAGCAGTCTACACAAACAATTAAAATAAAAGTCTAAATTTAAAATACCTAAAATATAACTATACCCAAAAAATAAATATTTAGAAAACTATTGAACAAATAAATGATGCACCTTTTATTAACTATCATTCGAATGGGTAATAGAAATTTTTTAAAACAGTCTTCAAAAGAAACCATGAACTAAACAACTAAATGAAATTCGAAAAAAAAAATTAATAATAACAATTATATTAAAAATATAATATAAAGTCATTATTTGAAAAAAGGACGATTATGACTTTTCCCGCTCCATGGTAAAAAAACTGTTTGCCATATAATAAGAGTTCACCAAGTGAATATTCTTGCGCAAACTGAAAAAGCGCAAACTGAATTTGTGAATTTCTCATGAATTCCCGCCAAATTTACAAATGTCTATTTAGGCATAATTTGAATCGTAGAATAAGTATTGAAATTCGTAGGTTCTTTCATAAAAGTCGGTTTTGTGTCAAAATACTATGTTAGAATAGAGCTAATATTAATCTATATATATTTTAAGTCATGCTTTCGAGACATGAACGCAATTTGAATTTGTCAATCGGCCCAGTAGAATGATATACAGACTGACCCCCTCCTTTTTTTTTTTTTTTTTTTGCGAAGTATACTCTCATATCGCAAAATCTAGCATTTGCCATACAGTAAAAGTCTGAGATCCGACTCGTCGAGGCTTCGTCGGCGGATATAGATCATCATTAAATCGAGAGAGGGGCAGAAGAAATATAAAATAAAAATATGAACAAATATGAAATCAGATTTTTGAAATAATAAGCATCTATGATCTAAAAAGTATCAAAATTTGCAAAAAAAAAAAAAAAAAAAAGCTTAATGTATATATGTTTACTTTATTAAACATTTCGTTGAATATAAGTTGTTCAAGTTGCTTCATTTTTTGTGCTTATACTTTCTCTTCAATCCTGTAGACAGACATAATTTCTTGTTCAGTTACAAAGTTCCACTGTTCAAGTCCTGTAGTTGCTGCAGTCCGTTGATTGATGATTGGAACATTACCATCGCAATGAAAAACTTCTGCTATATCATCTTCATTTATTACCGCTTCTCCACATTTCCTTACAAAATCCATTGATTAGAAAAGCAGATACGCAGCTATGGAACCAAATTATTGATCACACAAATTTATACTAAAATGATTGTAGTTTATTCAGTACCAAAATAATATTAAGAATCAGGATTCTCCACCTGCTTTCTTACAAGGAAAAAAATCTAATGCACATGCGTAAAGCTTTAAAAATAATTCCTAAAAAATTTTTGTTGGTGGCTTTAAGGTCCAGATTTTAGATCATTCCAGATATTGGACGTCCAGATCTCTACCATACCAGTTTGTTTTTCCTTTAATTTTGCAGGCTATTTTTATAACAAGGGGAACTATTAAGTAGTACTGATAATAAAAGAATAAGTATTGAAATTATCATATGTTAATTGATAATGCAAATTCAGAATGTTTAATAATAAATTAATACATTTGCTGCTAATTTCTCTGAAGCATGAAAAATATTTTTCTTTCTTCTAATTTTCCCTATTTCCTTGAAGGATTCAGATATCTGATTCAGAATATAAAGAAGCTTTTAATGTTGAACTTGAAGCATTCAAAAAACGTGTTAAGGAACGAGCAAGAATTCGAATTGAGAAGGCAATTCAAGAAGCTGAAGAGGTAATTTCCTTCCATTTCTTAATTTTCTCCATAGAGTATTTTAATACACAATTAAACAATTGATTATTATTATTTATGCATCTCACATTTTTATATTCAGGAAACTTGTATTAGTATTAAATGTTGTATATCTGCTCATTAAAATAAAAAATAATATGAATGTAGATTTTGATGTGGATGTTGATTCACATATAATAGTTGCATTAAAATTGTAACTAATAAATCATTTTCATTTTTCATTATAAAATATTTTTAATCTAGTTTTTTGTATTTTAGATAATTTTGGATAACTTTCAATTTATATAAGATTAAACTGTTATCTTTTGTAATTACAGGAAGATAGAAAAGAACGGTTAGGACCAGGGGGCTTAGATCCAGTAGAAGTTTTTGAATCTCTTCCTGATGTAAGTATATTGTACGTGAATTCACTTTCATACTTGCCAACCTATGACACTCAAAAATCAGGAGATGTTTTTAAGAAATCGGGAGATTTTTTCACAATGTTATAAAGACTTTTTAAATGAGGAAAATATATTTTTAATAATGATTAACTTAAATATAATTAATTCTTAAATGCAACACAAAAATACCTTACACATAAAAAATTTTTTATTACTTGCATCGTTTAAGAAAAAAAAAAAAAAAAAACACTTTAATAGTTTTCATACAATGTATAAACAGTGGCAGATTTTGCTTTTTAAGAAACTTAATAATTTTGTTCATAGCAATTGCCACGTAGACCTGTTTCACTAATAAAGTTTCTATGTGTCATCCTAATATAGATCAAATTAGTCCTCGTTTTCGCAACAAAACTGAAAATCCTCTCACTCTGCATTACTATGGGGAACTGTCCAAGATGGCCAACAATTCTAGACAGTTCACTATATTTAAAATTCCATCGCATCTTTCAGTTTTCCAATTAAACTCCACTGTGTCAATCCTAGCTGATTTTATAACTTCATCCAGTTTTCTAATTTAAACTGCTGTTATGCAGCTGTTGGACCTGTTTCAATTTTTCCTCCTTTTTAGACTCCTTTCAAGATAATAATAAATATCAAAATGTGTTCATCCACATTTATTGGTAAAAGAGCTATCCTTTTCAGCTGCTAAATTTAAGAGGTGACAGGTGCACTCATAATCTGCGAATTTTTCTTTCTGAAGATGCTGCAACACCGTCTTCAAGCCTACCAATCTGTGCATTATCGTACCAGTGCTAAGCAATTATCCAGAGGGACTGCATTTTCTTTTTAAGTTTTAATAATTAGCTGTGCTATATTAGCCTGTCAAATGCCTTCTAAAGTGGGACAAGTAAACTGCACTCAATTTCTTGAAGACTCTGATAAAAAAAGAAACAACAATTGATACAGTTTGAATTGGTTTTTGCTCCCTCCGTTGAGAGCAGAATGAGCTTTTTAATGCAATCAATAACTGAATATTTATTTTTCAAATCCATTTCTTACAATTCAGCTGTTTTGGTTCTTGCACTTAAGTATTTCTTAGCATTTCACTTATCGGGAAACATTTTCTAAATAAAGCTGCAGCGTGATCCGATGCATTCAGTGGCATTGTGCTCCAGGAAAAAGGCAGAGAACAGACATTTGCATTATAACTTTTGGTCCTTTGTTTCTGAAGAAAATCCAATTTTTCGTTTTTTTTCAAACAATTTATGTTTGCCTTGTGGCTTTTGTTACGCACATATTTGAGAACATCCGCCCTTTCCACCATGCGAAATCTGATATCACAATGACATGGCACATCGCAAATTTATTACATTTCCTTGAGGATGTAATGGAAGAAATGTAAATGTGTACAACTTTGAAATGTACGATAACCACCTTTCTCACACATAAAAAAGATTCTGAGATTCTAAAACTATTTTCCTAAGGCACCATACTCACACAACTCAGGACAAGATAAAAATAAATGAAGAACATCCAATAAAAGCTTGTTGTCCTCATTGGCTAATATATGCCAGATGACATGCAGTGGAGACGAGCCCATTGGAAACGACGTTTCTGGATCCATGCTCTCACTCACAATACAGAAGTTATCTAATTGCAAGGTTTTGTTTGAGATATATCTAGATGAAATTCATTGTTCGGACGTAAAAATCACTTTTTTTTGTTCATATAAAAGTATTAACCAGTTCCATAAAAATGAGAATTTTAGATAAGAAAAAGTTAGGGAAAAAGAGATTGTAAATCGGGTTGGTGGGAGAGCGGTCGAAAATGGAGAGTCTCCCATGTAAATCGGGAGAGTTGGCAAGTCTGCACTTTGAAGAGTACTTAAATGTTATTTTATGATTCATTCAGTATTCATATAATTGTATGCCTTGCATAATTAATTATGTGAATACTGAAGGATAATATAACAAAAAGAATGGATAAAAGCTTTACATCAGCATTGCATCAAGTGTGATAAACATATAGTTTAACGTGACTAAATAGATATCTGTACCTACTGAATCTAAGTAACAGTAGCTTTTAATATACAATTATCATTAACATGAAGATTTACTGCAGCCAAGATAATTCATGCTTTTTGGGAAAATTATATTAATTTTATATCGCACTTTTTTATCATATGCTGGATTACATCTCATGTTATTTAATTTTATTTTAGGGTAAGGTAATGGGTTTTGTATAATTTATATTGTTTACAATTCAGTTGTACATTTTTCTATAAAAAGGGTTTTAAGTTTCTTATGTATTAATTATATGTCACCTTGAATTTTATTAGCATTCTGTAAAATTTTTTTTCAGCTTATGCCTCCAATCTATTGGCATTCTATTTCTTTTCTTTAACACAAGAAAGTGAATCTATTGCTCTCTCTATTCTTCTTTATCTATTACTACACAAAGATCATACTCTGTTTGTGATCAAAGTGATTTTTTGTAAATGCTCATTAAAAGTTAAGTTGTTGATTCTGATGTGGTAATAGACAAGTAAAATCTTAAATAAAATTGATAATCAGAATGTAATACTTTAAATTAATGCCACCTCACTCATACTGTTAATACACTTATTCTGGTAATGAACTGTGACCAGGTCCGTGCCAAGCCTAATCGGCGCTGTTGTGCAAATGTTTAGCGTGCCTTTATGTAGTGACAATATTAAAGCAACATTGCTTATAGATAACATTTAAAATGCAGCATCATTACATAATAATATGAAAAACCAAAAGAATTACATTTTATCTTTTGTCTAAATATGCAAACATTTTTGTGCTTTGTTAAAACCCACACTCAAATGTTTATGAGAATTACATACATTGTTATAAAAAGCCCTAACCATTAGTGGTTGCGTTGCTGACTCCAGCCAGAGCCTGGGTTCGAATAAAGGAAAGAATGTGTTTGTAAAGTATGTGTGGTGTGGCATGGGGGAACTCTAAATATGTGAGGCGAAAGTCCTCTCGAAAGGTTGGTGGTAGGGGAAGAGGAGTGGAAGACGGTTGGACCCGTCCCCCAGGGTGCTCTTTATCAAAATTGGGGGCGAAACTGAGCTAAATCGCACTGTCTTCTGTAAGGTGCTCAAGGCCATTGCCAACGACAAGTGTATCTTGCACTCCTTGCCAAGAGGAATTTCGTGGGTTTGGGCTGACTATAGGTGAGACAAGTGAGCATTTGTCAACAACAACAACATGCTATAAAAACCAAGGTTCGTACGGTCCTTAAAAGTCCTTAATTTTTTTGGTCCTAATTTTGGCCAAAATGAATAAACGATCCTTAATTTTGCTCATTTGACATTTCTTATATTTCTAATGATTGCCATTCTAAGTGTGAATTGCAATTTCTCATGAATATGAAATTAAAATTACACGACTCTTAACCAATCTGTTGGCGGATTTGCGTTGCAAACGATAAAAAATTAATTACCTAGCCTAGAATGAAAGTATCGGGGTCTGATTGGCTATTCACCCAATGTTTTGAAACAGGTGTTATCCATAAATTTAGGCAGATTGTGACGAAAGCGGGAAGTTCTTTAAGAGGCGAAAATGATGATGAAGGTGCTCGAAAAAAAAAAGGGGGGATTCTGAAAATATTTGCCAAAATTAGAACAATTCCAACCTGGAAGGCCACAACCCTTCCGACGCCAACAGGAACGAGATGCCTGGAAAGTGCATTTTCAGTAAACTGTAGATTCATCAAGCTGACTACAAAGACTGGATATTGATGGATGGCAATCCTTAAATGTGGTCTTTGTTCTGAAACAAATTGAAATTTCTAGAATGGGAGAGTCGCACTGAAAATTCCATTAAAATTAAGTTTCGTTTTATCATTTCAATTTGTTTTTACACGGTTTTGCTTAGCTTAATTTCTGTGTTTGTTTCAATTAAGCCATAAATTAATTTTTTATCACCTTCTACGGAGTTTATTCTCTTTTGCACATATAGTATGGGATATCGGGATTATGAGTTTATTTCTGCAGAGGTCCTTTATCGATTTCGCGGGAAATCTGTTGGCTCCATTTCGATTTTTAGGTCGCCAAGGGCAAAATCGGTAACGCGCTGAGAAAAAGTGAAGTTCGGAAATACATTTTGAAGCTTCAATAGACAATTAAGTATTTGGTTTAACCTATGTTTTTGATAGTAATGCATATTTTTGCTAATGGCGATACAATATTAGTTGAAAATAACTAATTAAAAATTTTTAAATATTTTTAAAGCTGAAAACACTAATTGAAACTATTTTCCTGATTAACTAGACGCAAAATTAACTTTCATGAATACTAAAAGTTATTGGGTAGAATTTAACTGAAAATATACATTCCGATATATATATATATATATATATTTATACAGTACAAAGTCTCGGGACTTCGGCGATCCTAGATTTGAGATTTTTCCGGAATTAGATCATTTTAAATCTACTAAGATGGCACGTAGAAATTATAAAATTGAAAATATGAAATCGTGATTTATGAAATAATGAAGCATTTATGATTTAAAGGTATCAAAATTTACCAAAGAAAAGAGCTTAATATTATATGTTTACTTTAATAAACATTTCTTTCAATGTGAGTTGTTTGATTTTTTTCTCTGCTAATACTTTAGACTAATACTATAGACATATAATTTCTTGTTCAGTTATTAAGTTCCATTGTTCAAGTCCTGTAATGCTGTGTCGAGAATTCCGAATAACTTGTCAATCAAAATTTTTTTCTGTTCAGTAACCTCTCTGTTACTTTCTTCACTATCGGTAGCTGTATTTTCTGGATTTAGAACCATACTACAGATTTCGCCCTCCGTTAATTGATGATGATTGGGGCATTGTCATGCAATGAAAAACTTCTTTAACTTCGCTAAATTCTGCCGCCTGGTGCGGCCATGCGAGCTCTGGCGTGGTTCTGGCTTTATGTGAATAACAAATCAGTTATTCTTAATTCAAATAGCACTAAATATAATCGTTTGTCCTATGAGTATCATTAACAAAATCTATTTTTAGCATAAGGAAAGAAATTTCTG